ATATGGGTATGTTAGCCAAATCACCTAAACTTTTGATTTCTTTGTTTGTTTAATATTTCTTACAGTTTAAGATCCCAAAATGGTATGTAGAGATATAAGTTCAAATTCTTTCTTAAGATGCCACATGTTCTGCCTTGAGAGACATACTTATGTAACACTGTTTTAATTAACAAACTGTAAAATATGTTTTCTTATTTGGTAGGACAGGGCAAGCCACCCCACTACTCATTATTCTTCATTACTAAGTTTTTTGTAATGTTATGATGCTAAACTTTCCTATCCAGCAACATGGTATTTGTTTCAAATGTGTTATAAAAGGAAATGATTTAAGTCTTCTCTTATGCCTTTCAAGAAAATTTTGTGCTTTTCTTCAGAGAGGCAGAGCACAATGTGTATGTGTTTATAGTTTTGGTTAATGTTGTCATTAAAATATTTTCCCTTGTATTGTCTTATTTTTAAATAGCTTTATTGGGGTATAATGAGTCTTAGTTTGGACTGCTATGACAAATTACCATTGACTAGGTGCCTTAAAAAACAAACATTTCTCATAGTTCTGGAGTCTGGGACAGCCAACATCTGGTGTCTGGTGAAATCCCATTTCTTGGTTTTCAGATGGCTGTTTTCTCCTTGTCTCCTCACATGGCAGAAAGAGTGCTAGAGAGCTGTGCAGGGTCTCTTTTATAAGGGTACTAACCTCATTCATGCGGGTTTCACCCTCATGACCTAATGACCTCACAGATGCCCCACCTCCTAATACCCTTACATTGGTGATGTGTGTCGGTTTCAGCCTATTGATAGTGATGCTATCGGCTAGGAATCTGGGGGCACTCATCTGGGCCCATACTACTTGTGGCAGCGCTCACAGACATTTCTTCTGACCGGAGCCAATGTTGTGGTTGGATCAGTCCTTGTGGTTCTTATTATAATTGCAAAATATAACTCAGCAGCAACCATCAGGGAACTTTGAAAAAACAAGGTTTATTACTCACAGGTTCTGGAGGGTGTGCTCAAGGGCTTCACAGCGAGGTCTCATGTAGAGACAGAGGGAGAGAGAGATTATACCTGGTGTCCTGCCTTTATTAGGGCCAAGGAGGTGACTAGGGTTTTGGGGGTTTATTGGAAAATTTAAAACATAAGAGTGGGAATTAAAGCCCAGGGAGGGAAAAGTAGGGTCACTCAAGAGGTCAGTTATCTAGGTCACTCAGGGCTTTCTAAAAAGGGAACTTCATGGATGGGGTGGCCTGGCTCTTTATCTAGTTGTGTAGCTGGTAATATGTTTGTTCAAGATGTATGCCTCAGCAATCAAAAGCTTAATGTCAGGCATTTACATTGCAATCAAAAAAGCCAATTGTCAGGTATGCTACAATTGGGGCTTAGGATTTCAACGTATGAATTTTTGGAGGATGTAAACGTTAGTCCAGAACAAATTAATATACAAATAACTATACATGTATAATGTATGCAATTTGATGAGATTGGGCATATGCGGACACCTGTGATATCGTCACCACAATTAAGGTAATAGACATAGCAACACCTCTCAAAGTTTTCTTGTGTCCCTTTGGTTTTGCTTTTATTTTTTTCTTTGGTGGTAAGAACAGTTAACATAAGATATACCCTCTTAACAAATTTTAAAGTGCACAGTACCATATTGTTAACTATGGGCACTTGGTCATACAGCAGATCTCTAGAACTTACTCATCTAGTGCAACTGAAACTTTATACCCATTGAACAAACACTCCCTATTCCCCCCACACCCAGCCTCTGGCAATCACTATTATATTCTCTGCTTCTATGAGTTTGACTACTTTAGATATCTCATATAAGGGGGATCATGCAGTATTTGTTCTTCTGTGACTGGCTTATTTCACTTAGCATAACGTCCTCCGGGTTCATTCATGTTGTTGCAAATGGCAGGATCTCCTCCTTTTTTTTAAGGCTGAATAATTTTCCTTTGTATGTATGTGCCGTATTTAACCAGTAAAATCTATTGGGATTTCCAATCAAGAGAGTTGGCAACTATATCTTATGCAAAATTATTGATATGTTTCATGTTTTCATGCTTTTTCTTGTCATTTCTATTTCATTGGCTAGAATTTTTAGGGCAGCATTATTTATAAAGATAATAAAAACCACCCTTATGTCTTATGTCTAATGTTTCACAGTTGGGATGAATACAACCAGAAAGTGATGTAACTGGTAATTAACACCCTATATGAGTCTAAAGCCTATACTCTCTCCTTTTTACTATAATAGCTTGCTGTTATGGAACAGAAATAATAGAACTATTTCATTTATTTATTTTTCGTTAAAATGATCCTAATCCTTTTTGAGACAGGCACCAATAAAACTTTTCCTTTCAATTCAAGCATATCTATTTTCTTGTTGTTAATTACAAAATAAATACTTAATAGTGAGTTTAAATTTTGTGACACTTCCTTCAAGGAGAGAACACAGTACAACCTTGGATGTAGGAGCCAGGAATGGAGGCAGGAACGGGGGGAAAGAGATCTGTGAGATGCAGCTTGACACTTAGGCAAGTGGCACCCACAGCCAGATAAACTATGGGGTTGGTGATTCAGCCCCAGAACTCATGCTATTGGTCACTGTGCCCGGAGAGCACCACTCTAATTAATGGGGTTAAAAAAGTTGGAAGAAAAAAACAACATAGAGGAGTTGATTGGATACTGATTGATATGATTTGTCTTTGCTTAAGTCATAGGCACTGGGAGAAGAGGAGATACTTTGCCTGGAATGTTGTTGCCTTTGCATCCAAGACTTGAAGACTTGACTTCAGCTCAAGACATTTTTTTTCAAATGTATCTAACTTTAAGTTTAGGTCTTGACCAGGTTGCCAACTTAAAAGGAGACAGGGTGTTGGCCTTTTCTTTACATTTCCCCTGACATCCTTTTTACACAGATTTGCATTTCATGGGGTCAGGAAGCAATGCCATGTGCAGGAGCTGGAGAGTCATGCACCACATAACAAAGTTTCAGTTAATGATAGACCACATATACAGCAGTGGTCCCATAAGATTGGTACCATATAGCCTAGGTGTGTAGTAGGCTATACCATCTAGGTTTGTATAGCTACCATAGAGGAGGAAGAAATTTTCCTCTGCCTTTTTAGGTTCTTCTGGCTGGGTCTAAGAATTAAATTGACATGATATACATTAACAGGGGAAAAACAAACAACAGTTTAATAACATGTATACATGGGAAAAACCCAGGAAAACTGAGTAACTTGCCAAAATGGCCGAAGCCCTCACCTTAAATATTATCCTCAGCTAAACACAAAATATGTTGGGGATGGGGAGAGTCAGGGACTTCAAAGGGAAGGAAAGCAATTCACAGGTAGGTGAAAAGGAGAAAACGTTTAGAAAACAAGTGTTTGTCTGGCTACAGGGAAACAGAACACAGAGGGGAACCCAACAAACAGGCTTTTCTAGGTTCCTCCCTGTCTACCACCTAATTGATGTTATGCTAAGATGATGGCTCGCTTCCTGAGACAGGTTTTTTTGTCTGAATTCTTTTAGGCAGTCAAGGGAGAGATAATAAGAAAACCTGAGTCTTTTGTTTTTTAAAAATAATCAGCCTAAAATAATCCTCATGTTAAACAGACACATTTTGTGGTGGCAAATTTTATTCCCCTTCAGTATACTCTATGATGTTCGCACAATGACAGAATTGCCTAATGACATATTTCTCGGAACATATCCCCATGGTTGTGATGCATGACTGTACTTAGAATATTTTGGGAATGGGATGGGGTGGATGGAAGGTCTCAAGGAGGCTTGGATACCATTCTAATGAGTTTAGAATTTATTCTCAGGGCAATTGGGAACTATTGAAGGTTTTTACATCCCATATAAAAAGCAGTTCCTTTAGGGAATATGGATTTAAAAGTTGTATTAGTTTTCTAAGGCTGCTGTAACAAATTACCATAAGCACCTTAAATCAAGACAAGGTTATTATTTTCGTGTACTGTAGGTCAGAAATTTGACAGATTTCAGTGGGCTAAAATCAAGGTGTTTTCCAGGTTGTATTCCTTTTTGGGGAGAATCCATTTCCTTGCTCATTGTGGTTGTTGGCAGAATTCAATTCCTTGGGCGTGTAGGACTGAAGTCCCCATTTTCTTGCTAGTTGGTAGCTGAGGATCATTCCTAGTTTCTAGAGTCTTCACGCATTCCTTGCCTTGTAGCCTCCTTCTTTCATCTTCAAAGCCTGCAGCGCCAGGTCAGGTCCTTCTCATGCTTTGAATCTCTGCTGCCTCTTCTGTTGTCACATCTCTCAGGCCAAATATTCTGCCTTCCTCTTCTACTTTTAAGGTACCATGTGATTACATTGGTTCCACCCAGATAATCCAGGATAACCTCCCCATCTCAAGGTCCATAAATAATCGCATCTGCAAAGTTGAATTTCCATGTAAAGTAATATATTCACGGGTTCTGAGGATTAGAGTGTGGACATTTTTGGGGGGCCATTATTCTGCCTAACACAGAAGTCACTAAAGTATAGACTGTATTTTAAACCTTGGGAATAGAAAATATTGCCCAAGGATAGTGTGTGGTTGTTTCCTGAATCTTCATCTACTCAGAGATTACTCTACCCATCCTTGTCTTATATGCCCCCATCTCTTGGCTATCCAGAATTCCTCTATCACTTCCTGATGTGGAACATCTGGAGAGATGTTTTACCAAGTTCTCAACCAGAGAACTGATACTTGCTGTCTCCACTTTGCTAATCCCATGATCTGTGGCTAAATCTAATTTCTGCTCTTCCTTCACCTCCTCTCTGCCATCTCTACCTCTTGAGCTCTGCTGCTGCCCTGAGATTGTGCACTCCTTGGATCTGGATGACTTCTTCACCTTGCTCTGGAGCTGCCAGACCTCCCTTTGGACTCGATTTATGGTGATTGACCCTTTCCCAAAGTTCTGTTTTTGAATTCCTACCCATCCACTAGCTCTCTCCCTGTAGCATGCTGCATTCAGTGCAGCAGTGAGATGAAGTATGACCATTCTTAGGAGAGCTTATTCCAATACCCAAGGTCTTAGCCGCAAGTGAGGGCTACAAGCCCTTTGAATGATAAGAGAGCTAGCAGGAAAATAGAACCCAACATATGTTGGGGTGCCATGGACTCCCCTTTAATTTTGAGGCTAAGAGCATAGGATTGAGAATCTGACATTTTGGTGTTCCATTCCAGGCTCTGATATCTATCAGTCACAGATAATGTTAAATAACGTCTTTTAGTCTCACTTTTCTCATTTACAAAAGTGGAGATAAAAGATAACCTCAAAGGTTTGTTATGAGCATTAACTGAGACAATAGATATAAGCCAGTACAGTTTAGTAAGTGCTCACTTCATGTATTGTTCTTGGTTCTTCTCATCACTATGATCCGTGGGCAAAGGCACAAACAGGAAAACAGAGGCCATTGGTGTGAAGCACCCAAATATTTCTATTCGGACATTTTATTTTGAGTTCGGGGAAAGTAATGGCCTGTAGAGTTGATGGTGGAGCCAGTGGGACTCAGAGGGAGTAGTGGGGTCTCATTTGTCTTTAGTGACGCTTTCAATCCAGTGTATGTATTTGTGAACATTCGTGTAGATGCCGACATCGCCTCCCATGAAATGTCCGACCTCAATCCCCTGGAGCTTGTTTTTGCAGATGACAGTAGCGACAGCTACCTCCTACCAGAGATTGTGCAGAAAGAAGGAGAGAGAAAGAGATATGATTAGATCTTCTCACAGGAGCCCTCTAGTCCCTAACTTGAATGAGCCCTGCCTAGAGGTAGCCTGCTGGGTCACGAAAAGAGCACTGGATCATGAGACAGGAAGCTTGAGTCACTGATTTAGGTTTCCTGTGACTAGCCTTGTGTGATTTTGAGAAAGTCAGAGAAAACTTCTATAGAACTCACATGTAAAATGAGTCAAACCTCCTTTATTTGAGCTAGTGAAGCCAGTTTCAATTTGTGAAATATTTGAATTATTTTTTTAAAGCAATGCCCATTTTCACTTGCAGCTATGAGAATAACAACCTAGAAAAGTGTTGTTAACTACAGGTACTGCATGATACCCTTTAACGAATAAAGACATCCAAGGAGAGCCCATTACTGAAGAAACAATGGGGCCTTTGCTGCAGCCTTAACAAATTCTCAAAAAATTATGAGGGGATAAGGGATTTCAAATTTTTTAAAATATCATGATTAAATAGTTAACTAGACACATACAAGTAAATGAAAGCTGAATATAGAGAAAAGATTACCCCAAAAATTCGGCTGAACACTTTCGCAAATTTAACACATAAGGAGTTTCTGTGGCTTTTTCCTTGTTCGGTTTTCTGGCACTCTTTATCAGACATCACAGGGGCCTCCAGGTTCTGCCTTAAATCAGGGTGTCGGCCTGAGAGAAGACAGGGATAAAAGAAACCTTCCTGTTCACCATTGTTATTCAGCCCTTCCAATTACCACCCTCTATTTCAACTGGTGTTTTGTGTGTGTGTCTGAAGAAAATAAGGAATGCGAAAAAGGAAAGAATGATCTTGTGCACAGTTATGAGAGTTAATCCCAAGGATTTTGAAATAGGTTTTATGTCTCTTTAAAAAGCAGAGTTTTCTTTCTACTCTGTGTCCAGTCTTGGAGGAATAAGAGCTGACCTGACTCAAGCTCTCAGTGGTGTCCTCTACAAGTAAAATGAGCCTGTATGGGAGGGAGGAACATAGCCTCTTTAATGGGAATTGTGCCTCTGACAATCAGGAACAGTGTGGCCTCTGTACAGGGTCAGATGGCCTGGTGGCTCCAGCTGCTGAAGCCCTGAAGAGGCTGTGGGGCATTAGATGCTCTGGGAAAGGAGGGGCTTTGGACTTCTGGGAGGGTCTCTTTTTGCTAGACCAGTCGTGTAGTGTCTCCCTTTGGTCTCCACCTATTCTCCTCTCCTCTCTTCTCAGCTATGCAGACCTGTGTGATCCTTTTCAGGGGTTACTGATTTGCTGTGGGAGGTGTACTCACCACTGTTGTCATGGCTCCAGTCCAAACCTGAAAGCAGACAGACAGTGCCTGGCCAGACGTTGCTGGTGGCGAGGGGAAGGGGCTGGACTTTGGTGTTGAGGACAGCAGGCTTAGCAAGCTTGATGAGCATGAGGTCATCCTGGGGGGAGCTATGGCTGTAGTTCCAATAACGGATAATCTGGACAGGGTTAATTGCCTGCTCTGTCCCATCTCTGATTCTGATCTTGAAATTTCCCAGCATCACTTTCAGATTTCTGGAGAGAGAGGGGGTTAGAAGTAATCACTGTCATCCTCCTCCTCCTCATCATCATCATTATCATCATCAAAGCTGATATTGAATGTTACAGTGTGCCAGGTACTATGTCAAATGCTTTATCTGGATTCTAGATGACCTCATTTACAGCTCACAACATATCTTTGAGGTGGGTTCTATTTTTAATCTCCATTTTACAGATGAAATAATGGAAGCACATAAGAGTAATTTGCCCTTGGTCACACAGTGAGTGGTGGAGCCTTTAGCCACGTGTTTTCATGTTGTGTCCTTAATGTAGTGGAGAGGAAAATTATGCATGGTATAGAAATATTATTTTCCATCCTCTCCAGCTCCAACCTATCTAATTGGACATTTTTATTCTGGTAGAAGTAAGAGAAAGGGATGAGCTGAGTATTGGATATCTCCTGTTTGCTTCATTAGATCCACTGACAATCCTGCTTCATCCTGCTCTGCACCTTTGTGAGGTGATGTATGTGGATTAAATCAATAGGCTCTCTTGTCCTCTGGCTTCTGATTGGGTTTTGGCCAATAGGAAGCACAAGAAAGTAATTGGAGGGAGAGGAGTGAGGTTGGGCATTTATCCTCCCAGCTCCTTTCCTGCAGGGTTGCCACAGATTGACTGTTGGCTGTGTCTCCTGAGCAAAAGTTACAACTCTTATCAGGCAGTCTCTCCATACAGTGCTTTTTCTCTCTCTGTCTCCTCCCTGCCCTCCACCCCCACCTTGTTACCCTTTTCTCCACTTGCTCCTTTAGATCCAGGGGTAGTAACTGCACCTCTCTAGAACTAACCCTGGGGGTACTGAACTATTCTTTGTGCTTTCTCTATAACTTATCCATACCTTTGTCATTAGTTCTTTTTAAAAATTCTCAATTTTTCCAATTTGAGTCCACCATCAGTTACCTGCTGTTCTCTTATCTGATAAAATGTATTCATATTGCCAGTAAAAAACTTGGAAAAACTGATGGGAGACTGAAGAGGCGTAGTATATAGAGCAGGGCTCCTCAAAAGTGGACTATTGACATTTTGGGTTGCATAATGCTTTGTTGTGGGAACTGTCCTGTGTATGGTAGGATGTTTAGCAGCATCCTTGCCCTGACCTCTACCCACTAGATAGATGTTAATAGCACAGCCTCCTCCCCACCCCCCATTATGACAACCAAAAATATCTTCAGATGTTGCCTGAAAGGCAAATGTTTCCTCTGTTTGAAGACTACTGATGTAGAGTGATTAGGAGGTCTTTTGGAGGGTGGGAATGCTCAATACTCACGGTAAGTAGCAGTGAGCTGGGGCCAACACCCAGTTGTTTTTGATAAGGACACCTACACAGGGGTTGAAGTGAGACTTGAGGTATACCAAATAGGGAGCATGGTCTTCTTTCTGCGCAGATGACTGAGCAGAGAAAAATATCCCTGAGAAAATAATTAATATACTTAATATATAAGACATTCTTAGAACAGATAAGACAATCAACAATTTCCTAGTTGAAAAGGAATATGGATAATTTTAAAGAAATAATCTATTGGCCAGAAAATTTGAAAATGTTTGACATTTTTTTCAAATAAAAATGTAAATTAAAATGACATATCATTTTATCTATTTATAATAATTTTTTGTTTAATGTTGATAATCAATTTAAGAAAGTACCATGAGAGAGACTCTCATTCACTGCTTGTAGGAATGTGAATTGATTCTGTCTTCTTTAAAAGCAGTTTAGAAATAAGTGTAAAGAATTGTAAATGATTCGTCACCTGTGACCTAGCAATTCTAACTCCAAGAATTCATTCTAAATAAATAACCAGATCTGGATAAAGATTATGAGTAAGTGTGATCATTTTAGCATTATTTATAATAGCTAAACATTGGAAACATAAATGGCCAATACAATAATGTTGGACTTTGAAATAAAATAGTACATGAACAAATGGAACATTATACATATTAAAATTGTATTATAAAGAATATTAAACAGCAATAGAAATACTGATAACCTTTCTTTAAGTTAAAAATAATAGTAAAAATGTACGTTTAATCTAGTAATCCAATTATCTAAAAACAAGTAAACAAACGAAAAATAAACCACTTAAATGCAAAAAAATAAATAAATCCTGTGAGTAAATTCAACAAAGTGTTAGCTGAAAGGTGGGATTATGCATGGTGTTTATTTTTTTCTACTTTTTAATATTTCCAAATTTTCTAATATGAACATGCAATGTTTTTCATAAATGAATTACTGAAAAAAACTAGAGGAGAAAGGGGAGGAAGGCTGATTCTAGTATCAGAAATAAAGTACTGTTCTTGTTTTGGCTGTCCTCAGTACTTCTCTTGATCCTCCCCAAGCCTAGGCCTGTACCTCACCACACCCTTCTCTGTGTGATCACACAGTTAGAAATCCCAAGGGAAAAAGGATGGAGTATTAATAAGAGACACTGAGCTCTTGTTCTAAGTGCTTTACATGGATTTATTTAATCTTTACAATGACTCAATATTGCAGACAGTAATATCCCCATTTTGACTGTAGAAACTGAAGCACAGATGAATTAACTTGTACAAGCTCATATGGCTAATTTATGATGCAACCTAGGCAGTCAGGGAGTAGGGGGATATGCCTCACCGGCAAATTCGGCCGTCAGAAGAACTTCATGGAAGTCAGGGAGTGCAGGAGATAGGGCCCTTGCATTTGATCTTTTGTTCATACCTTCTCCATTCCCTGCCTTCTGAGTTTCTAAGCTTTTGAAAATGGGGGCATGTCAGACATCAGAATGAGCTCTCTATCTTTGTGACTATGGGGACTTGCCCAGTGGGTGATGAGGCCCCATTTTGGAATAACTCACTGTTGAGCATTCTCCAAGGCAGGTTCATGCCATAACACACCCATAGCTTAGCACTGAAAGGGGGGGCTCAGCCTCTCCTGAGGGCCTTTGAATGGAGTCTAAGAGGAAAGACCCCTAGTTGTCATTGTAACTGTTTTTCTTGACTCTTCTTTTGCACTCTCTGCACATCCCATGTCTATCTTACACCATCCTACATTAACCCATGCCTTATAGGACAGTAGGTGGTCATGGATACATACCAACAATGACACTTAAATAGATGATAAATTTCATAGCAGTCCAGATCTTTCCCTGTGAGATGTAGAAGATCAGCAGAGAGTAGAACTTGAAGCCCAGTCTTCTCCTCAGGAACACCTGGTAGAATCAGTGGATATGGTTAGGTATGGGGGCACACAATGGGATTGGACAGCAGCTCTGGGCATAAATGGGGGGAGAAAGTGGGCTCTGGATAGACGGATGGAGGCTCTTCTACTACAGGGAAGGTGGGGGATTCTGCCTCTATTAGGATCTTTCAGGGAAAGAAGAAGAAGCCCAGTTCCTTAGACTTCTGGATCCAGGTCCCTCTATCTGCTGTCTCTAAAAGCCCATCTCCCTAAAAGTGGTTCAGCTGTTTGTGGAAAATGGAGCTCTAGGCTCAGAACTTATCTTCCCCATGGAGTTTCTGAGGCCAGGGCTGTGGGGGACAGGATTCACTACCTTAGCTCAAGAAGACAGTGTCCCCATGTTTGCTCTGAGCCCCCTACTATATGCTTTCCCTCCGCCCCTCCCATCTTTGTTACACCAGCTTCATCTTTCCCTTTAATCACTATTTCATCACTCAGTCATCATCACCAAGTTGGTCTGGTTGTCCTGATCACCATCTTTGAGCTAAGGAAACGTGGAGATGAAAAGCATTCAGAGAACAGTTATTTTGACAGTTGGGGAATGGTTTACACTCTAGATTACATTAGATCTAGGATCTACTGTATGCTGGTGACAATTCAGAAGGCAAGACCTTTAAGTGCTTTTTACCTGATGAAAAGATTTCTCAGCCAATAATAAACTGCTATGGTTGGTCATCCTTGGATAATTGTAGAAAAAGAGCAGTTAACTCTGTAGGGGAGCAAGAAATATTCCTCTACCCTCCAGGGTCTTCTGACTGGTCTAAGAATTAAATTGACATGAGACAGAATAACAGGAGAAAATCAAACAAATTTAATAACACGTATACATGGGAGAAACCCAGGAAAACTGAGTAACTCACCAAAATGGCTGATGCCACCACCTTAAATATCATCTTCAGCTAAAGACAAAGGAAGGTATTGGGGGTAGTGCTTTGGGATTTCAAAGGGGATGAAGGCAATTCACATGGAGATGGAAAAGCAAGTGTTTGGTAAACAAATCTTTGCCGTGTCTTGCAAAGATAATGAGAGCTAGAGAGGACTTTGATCCAAGAGGCCTTGCTAGGTTCCTCCCTGTCTACCGAACCTAGTTCATATTATACTATAGATGTCTTATGGTATTAGCTCCTTCCTGAAACAGGCCTTCTATCTTAAATTCTTTTAGGCAGTTAGGGGGAAGGTCAAAGTTTCTTCCTGAGTCTTTTGTTCTTAAAAATAATCAAGCCGAAGAGATACATTTTGGGATAGCAAATTCTGTTCCCCCACAACTCTAAAAGCTAACATCGGAGGTGGGCTCCATGGCTGAGTGGTTAAGTTCGTGCGCTCCGCTGTGGTGGCCCAGGGTTTGGATCCTGGGCATGGACATGGCACCGCTAGTCAGGATACATTGAGGTGGCGTCCCGCATCCCACAACTGGAAGGACCCGCAACTAAGATATACAACTGTGTACGGGGGGGTTTGGGGAGATAAAGCAGAAAAAAAAATAAAAGCTAACATTCGTTGGGCATTTACTGAATCCCAGGCACTGAATTAAATTCCTTACAGACCTTGTTAGAGGTAACGTTATATCAGGTTAGTTTGAGGTGTAAAATTAATTACACTTTGTATCACTCTAACCTTTTAAATTTTCTTAGGCCCATAATCTCATTCCAATCTAACAACCCTGAAAAGAGGAAACAGGGTAGTATAATTTTTTCTTTTTTCTGATCTGTAGGTGGCAGAATTGAAACAGAGATAATTTAAGTGATTTTCTCAAAATTGCACATGATTGCAATCTAGGTCTCATTGTGGATACGCATACCTTTTAAACCACGTCCTGCAGGCTTCAGCTAATCAACCAGCACTCATGGATCTTGGGAAACTATGCATTCTCACACACAAATTTCCTCAAGTATGAAGTGAAAAACAGATATGGCACATACTTTCCAAAGCCTCACAATGAACACAGGTACACTGGGGAGTAGGGCTGGTATATGAAATATGCTTGAGGTTTGAAGACAGGATGGAGTTGTGGGAAATTTTCTATGGTGGGAGTAGGATTAGCTAAAACAGGTGAAAATTTGAGAAAGAGGTACACTTTACTCTGAAGTTGTTTTTCCTAAATCTTTTGGAAAGATTTCGGGCCAGGAAGGGAGTTTGAGGACTGGTTTGACAGTGTGAGGGCTAAGACCAGAAAAGCAAGGTTGCTATCTAGGAAAAGGTCTCTAAAGCAACAAATTTTCTGGAGGAGGTTGGCACTGGGCACTATTACCTGTCTATGAGTTTCAAATTGGTATCTCTTGCCCAGATCTCCTGTCCCCCATATATGACTGCCTCTTAGAAACCATTGTTTGTATCACCTATAGACCTCTGAAACTTCTCATGTCAAAATTAAACTCCTCTGGCCTTTCAAATTCATTCTTCTGCCTGTTTTCCTTATCTTAGGAGACAATTCTACCTTCCACTTGTTTGATCTCTCTCTTTTTCTCACCACTCAATCCCAAGTTCATCCTAATTCTAGAAATCTCTAAAATCCATCCATGTCTTTCCATTCTTAACTGCTGTCAACCTTATCCAGGCCATAATCTTGTCTTGCTGGAACTAATGTATTTGCCCATCTACTGTTGCTCCACTTGACATTCTGTCTTATACTCAGAACTATTTTTTTTCCTGAGATACAGATAAGATCATATTAGTCTCCTTCATAAAACTCTTCAGCAGTTCCCTACTGTCTATAGGGTAAACTCCTAGCATGATTTAGGGACCTCCCTTGATCCTTATCTCATCTTGTCTTTGTCACCCTCTCTTCTCATCCCCTGTTTGCCTGCCTACCCACCCCACACACTTTTTCCCAAGCTTATCAAACTATTTTCAAGTGTGGGCTTTCTTGTTTCAATACTAACTTTTTATATTACTTTAGCCTTTGAATGCTTCCTTTACTTTGCAAATTCCATTTGTTTTTTATCTATTTGTTTTAGGATACTGATATCTGATATGGACATTGTTCTTAAAACTTCTCTTTGAAAAAATAACTTTAGAATCCTATGGATGGATGGGGGGTGTGTGTGTGTATCATATTCAACATTTCCTCATCATTAAGTTTCTTTATCTATTAGTGTTATTATAGATTCTGTGTACATACAGAGACATCTGTCCCCAGCCTCATTCCACAGAATATCTCAGGTCTATAGGGACTCTAAATCTATTATCATCTCATTCTGCCGTCTGATTTTCTATTTAAGTAATATTCTTGTTATATTTTGCCACCAAAAATCAATTTGAAAAAGGCAGCTTCAGAGAAGGAAAGAGAGAGAGAGAGAACCGTGTCTGAGACGGCAGTGTAGTAACAACAAATTTAGAGATCTGACAAGATTCACTGGTATTGGTATTGGTTGGGAACTTTTTTTCAAATGGTGTCTGTGGTTGTGAGATGTGACCTGTACAAGTGAAGCGGTTCTGAGGAGGAGTGGGCTGGTGTGACACGCATAAAGGGGAAGGGAGTCAATGTCACACAGAGGGGTGGAGACAGCGCTCTGCTTCATCAGAGTAGTTCAGAAAGGAGAGGGGTCAGTGGGACATTTAGGGGGAGGGATGCTAGTCACACATTGTGGGGAAGGAACTGGTGAAAAGAACTGAGAGGCTAAGGAAGAAACTTGAGATGAATTTTAACTCCATGGAAGGTTCACATGACTCCTACATTGGAATTCTGTTCCCTAGATGAGGTGGATAAAGCTCAGATCCCTGGAGCTCATCTTCCCTTAGGCCAGGTTTCAGTTAGACTGAGAAGATTTCTATGCCTACTGACAAGAGAGAGTGGGCAAGTGCGACTGATGAATTGTTTTTTACACTGAAGATCAAGACTTGAAGGAGAGACCTCCAGAAGACAGAATTTTGTAGAATCCTCATCCCCAGTTCTCCCACCTGCATCTTCTCCTGCTGTTCAGAATCCTCAAGTAGGGTATAAGTTCTATCCCTGCTTTGTGCCTGTTAGTTTCCACTACATCTTTATTCCTCAGGACAAGATTCAGGCATCAACATGAAGTATATCCTTTTGACCTTGCTGATGGTGACTGGTGAGTGACTGAAGGTATCTCTTTGTCAAATAGGTTAGGACTGTTTTGGGAGTGAGGCTGTGAAGCTATGTGTCAATGAAAATAATCCATAACCAATCTATAAACGAAAATTTGGGAGAGTTTATTCTGAGCTAAAATCTGACAACCATGACCCGGGGCCTTTTTTCGCCCCCCCCCCCCCCCCCCCCCCCCGAAGGAAAGAAAGACCACCAAAGAAATGAGGTATACAGAGTGATACAATACCCCCAAACAGGATGTTTCACATGTGATTGAAATGTCCCTCCCACAATAGTCACAAGATTGCCCTGTCGGCACAGCACTTGATGGACACAGCAGGTAGCGGGTCTGCGGTCTCAGCAGGCATAGCAGGAGGCAAGTCTATTGTCTTGAGCTGGGTGGTCACAGATGAGCGCAGCAATCAGTTCCTAGCCTAAGGAAAGATGCTTAATCCTTAAGGAAATGCCAACGTTGGGAGGGGGAGGGAAGTGGCACCTTTATCTCAAGGGCCTTTGTTCTTGCCATAGGGAGTGTCTAAAGCAGATATACAATGCATGCTCAACGGCCACGTCAGGACCTTTTGGAAAGACAAGGTCAGGCAGAATTAGGTTTACACCAAATGGCTTCCTCATATACTTCAATATATCCTATTGCTTGCCATTTTTATTTGTCATATGTTAGAGAGAGAGAGCTGGTGGATTAGGAGCACGAAAGTTTGGGAAATAGGTGATATGCTAGTCATTTTCCATACATGCTCAGTCATTGTAGGCCTAACTAAAACTTTAATGGGCTTAAAACCTCCTCTGGATGTCTGATAAAGTTCTTGCACCGAAACATTGAGACATGCCAGAAGGGAGGATGGAGATAGGAGCCTGGAAGGGGGCATATGAATTCATAAAAGACATAAAAAGCAAGAACAGCAGGTGTTCTGCTATAAGGTTCTGTCGACATAAATAATTCACCACCAACCTGGGTTGAGTTTATTATGAGCCAGAGTGAGGATTATCACCCAGGAAGGCCTTAGAAGGCAATCTGGAGAAGCGTAGGTTTCAGTACAGTCTTAGATCTTTTTAGAACACGGAACATACATTAAACACACACAGGATACATTTCCATCAAAATTTCAAAGAGGTATTCATTTGCAAATTCGTAGGTCGCCATGACCCTGATGTCAGGAAAGGGATTAATCTGGGTGTTACCAATAGAGCATAGGAGGGGAAGTACACATTCTTATCCTAAGAGAGTGCATTCTTTACTTTAATGGATAAGCAGATGTACAATATATGTTTGATAGGCCATAAGTCAGGCTTTTTAGTTCAAGCCAAATCACTTTTAAACTAGAATAGTTACCCCATATATATCAATATGTGAA